AGCACCGAGCAGCTCCAGGATTCCAGGGATGCTCTGCTGGAGCCGTTTCCTTGGGAGCAGAAGGCTCTGGAAGTGCTGCCAGCCAGCCAGAGTAGATGGTCTGGTGCTGTCCAATAAATAAATCTGGACTGGAGATCTGGTGAAAGAAATGGAAATTCTGGGAATGAACTTGATTCTATTTAATGGCTCAATTTCCCCGGGAGTTGCCTCAGCCTCTCCCAGCAGAGCTCCCCCAAAGTCGTGGTTTTCACCCCAAACTGAGCCCTGAGCAGCCTCTCAGCACCGTTTGTGTTCGTGTCACCCCCCAGGGCACGGGATGGACACCAGGCCTGCCATGGCCATCTTTGAGCTGCTGGATTACATCGTTAACGAGGTGGGTGTTTGCTTCCCCAGGGCTTCCTCAGGGATGTTCTGCTCTCCATGTTTGGTCACTCAGGGAATCCCAGCATGGTTTGGGTTGGAAGGACCTTAAATCCCATCCAGTGCCACCCCTGCCGTGGCAGGGACACCTCCCACTGTCCCACTGCTCCAGCCTGGCCCTGGGCACTGCCAGGGATCCACAGCTGCTCTGGGAATTCCATCCCAAGGCCTCCTCTCTCTTATAGGGGGGAAATTCTTCTCAACATCCCACCTAAACCTTCCCTCCTTCAGTTTAAGGCCATCCCCCGTGTCCTACCCAACTTGCAAGGCCAGCTCTCACAAACACAGCGATGGAAAATTCTCATTTTGGGATTGTTTCATCAGCCCTAGGCATGGCCAGAGCTGGGATTTGTGAGGCTGGATTTAGGATTGGGATGCTTGGTGATTTCCCAGCTTTGGCTGGGGTTCAGTGTGGGGTCTCCCGGGTGCAGAATGAGCAGGAATGGCAGGGAAGGAATGGCAGGGAAGGGTTTTCCTGGCTGGAAAAGCAGTGAGGATGAGAGTGGCTGTAGAGCACAGCTCCCTGACACTGATTTTTGGCCCAGTAACACAGGAGTGGTGCAGGAACCCCTTTTCCTTCTCTCCACAGCCTCCTCCCAAGCTGCCAAGTGGAGTCTTCACGCAAGATTTCCAGGAGTTTGTAAATAAATGGTGAGGATTTCATCTCCTGGCTGAAGGTGGAGCCTTGGGCGTGCTCCTTGACAGCGCTGCAGCTCCACCCTCTGTGTTCTGCCTGATCTCTCTCTCTCTCCTTGCCTGATCCCACGTTGTGCTGGGAGCTCCTGCCTTGGGAAGGGTTGCAATAAAAGCATTTTATTATTTGTGGGGTTGCTGAGCAGGATCCCAGCTCCTTCTAAATGTGAGCCTGGCAAGGAGGGTGGCGGAGCAGATCCTGGGGCTGAGTCACCCCGTGGGCACAGGGACACCTGAAGGTGCTGCCAGAGCTCCCAGTGAAGCAGAGCTCGGATAAACCCCAGATTGCTGCCAAGCTTCGGGGCCTTTTCTCCATTTGCAGGGCACAGTTTGTCCCCGCAGTGTGGAGGAGATGGATGCTGCAGCTCTCCCTGGGAGCTGGGCTGGCAGGGATCCCTCTGCCAGGGTCCTGAGGGGCTCTGGGGGAAGCTGGGGCTTCTCCAGCCTGATCCCCACATGGAATCTCACCTTGGCTTCCCTCTCTTCTTGTTCTTCTCATTTCAGCTTAATTAAGAACCCAGCAGAACGAGCAGATCTGAAGATGCTGATGGTGAGTGGGGAGAGGATTTTTCTGGTGGCTCTGCCAGCTGCTGCCCCATCCCTCTTGTTCCAAAGGCTGGGAATTCCCAGGCTGAGCTCAGGATGAGGGACTGACCCCCTTTATCCAGGGGAAGTGCCGGGCTGGGTGGGATCTTGGGCAGGAATTCCTCCCTGTGATGGTGGGAGGAATATTTTCTCCAAATCCTCTTTCCCTGCCTCAGGATCTTCCCTTCCTCTCCAGTGCATATCCCACAGCACAGGGCCGGCTTTTTGGGATCTGGGCTGCTCCTCTGAGCCGTTCCTGACCGTGTTTTCCCCGTTGCTTGCAGAGCCACACGTTCATCAAGCGCTCCGAGGTGGAGGAGGTGGATTTCGCGGGCTGGCTGTGCCGGACGCTGCGGCTGAACCAGCCCAGCACTCCCACCCGCGCTGCCGTGTGAGCCCGGCTGGCACTCCTGCCTCGGGCACCGCTTCCTCTGCTCCCTGCAGGGCACAGCTGGCCCTCCTTCCTCCCTCCCAGCGCCAAAGCTCCGGCCCGGGGCGGCTCCATCCTCCGGGGGCGGCTCCATCCACCAGGGTCGGTCCCCTCGGACCTGGGGCTGTTCCAGGCTCTGCTCCAGCTCTGGGGCTCCTGACACTTGGGAATTGTGGTGCTGCTTATGTTGGTTTTTTCTTTATTTTTGGGTTTATTCTTGTTTTGGTTTGGGGTTTTTTTTTTGTTATTTTGGAAATTAGGAAGGAAGGTGATGGGAGGTGTGAGGTGGTGCGGGATGAGCTGGTGCTTCACCCCATCCCTGGTTTCTCTCTGGGATGGAGAATCAGTGGGATCAGGAATGGAGAAACCCTGCCTAAGGTGGCCCAGAGCAGTGTCCCTGTCCTGCCTGAGGCCACAGCTGGGCTGGGGGCAGAGCAGGGATTGCTGCTTGGTTTAAATCTGCTTTAAACGGTTCTGATGGAGCCTGGCTTGTCCTGAGCTGGATGTTCAGGGGAGGGGCTGGATCCATGGGGATGGGATGGGGATGGCTCCCACTTTTCAGCGTCCAGGTGAGGGGAGAGAGTGCATTTTAGATTTTCCTTCCCTGGAGAAGGGGAGGCAGAGCCCGGCTGTGCCCGGGGTTGGGGTCCCTCTCCTGACCCCATCGGGGGCACAGGGAACCCTCCAGGCTGCATTTCCCCCCTCCAGGCTGCGTTTCCCCCCTCCAGGCTGCATTTCCCCCCTCCAGGCTGCATTTCCCCCCTCCAGGCTGCGTTTCCCCCCTCCAGCTGCCTCCAGCCCATCCCAGGGCTGGCCTCAGCCATTGTGGCCGTGGCAGAGCTCCAGGATTCCCTGTCAGAGCCCCCTGGCCGGGGATGAACCCACCCCGAGCCCGCGTTGTTGTCCCTGGATTGTCCCTCCCTCCCATCAAGGACCCTGCAGCCCCCCAGGCCCCTTCCCACCACGTGGATTTTGGGGTGAATTGTTCCTTTCCTCCCCCCATGTGGGTTTGGCAACCCCTGAGCCCCCCCCATGAGGATTTAGGAATTTTTTGGTGTTTTCCTTGTATTTTTTTTTTGGCTGTTTTTCACTCAGTCAGGCTGGCAGCTGCCATCCCCCTGCCTGCCCTGGGTCCCACCATGGCAGCCCCCCCAAAAATTAACTCCCAGGCCTGGGTACCCCCAAGCCCCTCATCCCTTTTGCTTTCCTGTTTTCCAGCACAGGACAAAGGCACTGCCCTGCCTGGTGCCAACCCACAGGGCAGCCACATCCCCAAAGGGGGGGACGCCCCAATTTTTTGGGGGGAGCACCCTAATTTTGGGGGGAACACCCCAGATTTGAGGGGTCTGTGCTTGCTGGCTCAGCTCATGCCCAACCAAGCCCCCCTGGAGCCGTGGGGTGCTCGATGTGATGGATTTTGCCTCTTATTTAATATGGGAAGGTTCCTCAAGTTTCGGGCTATTTTCCATCAGTTTTGGTGCTGGGTTTTGGAGAGGAAGAGGAGGAAAAGGAGGATGATGATGATGAGGAGGAGGAGGAGAGCATGGATGGAGCAGTTTGGTGGTGCAATTAATTTTGGTTGTTTTTTTTTTTTTTTTTAAACTCGATATTTTCATCATGGACGGGGAGGGGAGGGGAAATAATAAATAAACGGCACTTTACATTTCCAGGTGGTTTCTCTCCAAGGTTGTGCCCCGGGTGGGTTTAACCCCTTAGGAGCCGGAATTGCAGCTGGGAATGCTGTCTGGGAGCTCTGCTGGCTGTCCCTGGCATGTGCTGGCCACTGCTGCCTCCAGTGGGAGCCGCAGACACCGGAATCATCCCGGCACGGGATGGATGTGGGATCCGAGGACCTAAATCCAGCTGGAAATAATTGGGGGGTGAAAAATATTTAGGGGTGGGAAATATTTGGGGTGAGCAGGAGCTGGGTGAAGCTGAAAAAAAAACCCAAATTGGGCCCAAAATTGGAAAATATTTTGCAGGTTTTGGGCTGTGAATGATGCAGGGGCTTGGGGTGACACCAGCATGGTGACATCCCTAATTCCAGGCTCCTTCTGGGAGGTTTTTTGGGATCCCATCCCTAATTCCAGGCTCCTTCTGAGGACATTTTTTGGGGATCTTGTGGTGCTATCTCTAATTCCAGGCTCCTTTTGTGACATTTTTGGGGGATCCCATGGTGCAATCCCCAATTCCAGGCTCAATGTGGGACATTTTTGGGTTTCCCATGGTGGCATCTCTAATTCCATGCTCGTTTTGGGACATTTTTTGGGGTTCCCATGGTGCCATCCCTAATTCCAGGCTCATTTTGGGACATTTTTGGGGTCCCACGCCGTGGTCCCTGACTCCAGGCTCCCGTGGTGCTGTTTTGGGGGGTCCTGGTTTGTTTTTTCCTGCTGTTTTGGGGTCCCCCAGGGCTCTGGGGTGCCCTGGGATGGACTCACTGCACCCCTGGGAGCTGTGCCAGCTTTTGGTGGTGCCAGCTGGGATTTGGGGAGGGGGGTCCCCAGTGTGGGGGTGACCACGGCCCCTGTGCCACAGCGGGATTTTAGGGGTGCAGGGAGGAATTGGAGGTGACAAAGGGGAGATCCCCAACCTCTGTTCATTTTATGGGGTACAGTGTGGGGAGTTGGGGTTCTCCCCACAAACACCCTCATTGGAGGCGGGGTTCCACAGCTGATTTTGGGGGGTCTCAGTGCAGGGGGGGCACTCTGGGGTTCATATTTTGGGAGGCTGGCAAAGGGGAGATCCCCAACCCCTGTTCATTTTATGGGGTACAATGGGGGGAATTGGGGCTCTCCCCCCAAACACCCTCACATAGGGGGTTCCATAGCTGATTTTGGGGGGTCTCAGTGCAGGGGGGGCACTCTGGGGTTCATATTTTGGGAGGCTGGCAAAGGGGAGATCCCCAACCCCTGTTCAGTTTATGGGGTACAATGGGCGCAGTTGGGGTTCTCTCCCCAAACTCACATAGGGGGTTCCACAGCTGATTTTGGGGGGGATCCACAGCTGATTTTGGGGGGTCTCAGTGCAGGGGGGGCACTCTGGGGGTTGATATTTTGGGGGCCCCCCCCGGGCGTGCCCCGGGCGTGCAGGGGGAAAGCGAAAGCAGCCGGGAGCTGGGGCTGCTGGGGCAGGGACGGGCTGGGGGTGCAGCCCCACACCCCAAACCCCACCCCAAAACCTCCCCCCGCTCCGTTTGGGGGTTCAGGGCCCCCTCAGTCCCCACCCCCGGCCGTGCTTCCCCGTGCTGCCTCAGTTTCCCCAGCTGCTCATTGGGGTTAATGACCCAAAACCCCCCTAAAACCTCCCCAAAACCTCCCCAAAACCCCCTCGGGGGGCGGGGGAAGGGCGAGGGGCGGGCGGGGAGCTGGGCCGGGGTTATTTAAGGGAAAAAAGGGGGAAAAGCGGAAATCCCAGCGAGGAACGCGACCCCCGAGGGGGGAAGGGGAAGGGGAAGGGGGGTGTCGATCGCAGCTTTGCTTTTCTCGCTTTCTCTTCCTTTAACGAACCCAAACCCCAAATGTCCAACAATTCCAAACGCGCCCGGATTTTTCTCTGTTCCCCGCGACCGGGACGGCGCTGGAATTGCGGGAGCCGAGCCGGGGGTGGCCCGGCCCCGCCCGGGTGGGGACAGCACGCCCGTGTCCCCGTGTCCCCGTGTCCCCGTGTCCCCGTGTCCCCCGCGCCGCTCCCGTCCTTGCCGGGCTGGCTCCGAGCCCACCGTGACCTTGGGCTCCGTGTCCCCGTCCCCCAGCGGCCGGGGGGGACACGAGTGGCGGGGAGGGGCTGCGGGGACATTGGGGACAGCGAGGGCGGCACGTGGTGCCTCGGGGAGGTGACCGGGGAGGGACATGGAGGGGCGGGGGGCGTGGGGAGGCGACACCAGCGTGGGGTGACGCGGGGAGGGGCCCGAGGGGGGACCCGAGTGGGTCTGAGGGGACAGGGAGGGGACATGTGGGGACACGCGTGGGGCTGGGGGCGCGGGGAGGGGGTGACACGTGGGTGGGGTGACCCAGAGGAGCACGGGGAGGTGACACGAGGGGTGACACGAGTGGCTTTGGGGGTGTGGAGCATAAAGGGTGACCCAGAGAGCCCGAGGGGTGACACTCGTGGGGTGACACCCGCGGGTTTGGGGGACACAGAGGGGCCCCAGGGGGTGACAGGTGGGCAGGGTGACCCCAAGGGGCTCAGAGTGGGGACACGAGTGGGTTCGGGGCCGGTGAAGGTGCCCCGGGGGATGACACGAGGGGGTCTGGGGGGACACACCAGTGTGACCCAGACGGGACGTGGAGGTGGCACAGTGGGGACACGAGTGAGTCTGGGGTCTGTGTGTGTGACACAGAGGGGAGGAGGTGACACCGTGTGACAAGTGTGGGTCTGGGGTCTGTGTGACACTGACGGGGACAGGGGGACACGCGTGGGTCTGGGGTCTGTGTGACACTGGTGGGGAGGAGGTGACACCGTGTGACATGTGTGGGTCTGGGGTCCGTATGTGTGACACTCCCCGGGGGGGAGGTGACACGGTGCAACACACGTGGGTCTGGGGTCTGTGTGACACTGACGGGGACAGGGGGACACGCGTGGGTCTGGGGTCCGTCAGACACACGGGGGGAGGTGACACCGTGCGACAGGCGTGGGTCTGGGGTCCGTGTGTGTGACACTAACACATGTGGGAGGTGACACGGTGCGACACGCGTGTCCCCGCTCGCGCTGTCCCGCGCTGGAAGGGGGGGGGGGTCCGCGTCCCCCCTGGGGTCTCCCCCGCGCGCGCCCCCCCCGAGCCCCCCCCGCGCTGCGCCCCCCCCCGGCCAGAGGCGGCTGCGCCCCGCGGGGGGGGCGGCGGGCGGGGGGGCGGCGCGCGGCCCCTTTAAGAGCGGGGCGGCCCCGGCCGGAGCAGGAAGGAGCCGCATACGGGCCTCGGCGAGCAGCTCCCGCGGGGCGGCCAGAGCCTGCTCCGCCCGCCCGCACGGCCCGGCCCGCCCGCCTCGGCACGGCGCGGCCCGCTCCGCTCGCCCGGACCGCTCGGCCCCCGCCCGGTACGGAACTGAGGGGTGGGCGCGCTTGGGGGGGGGGGGTCGCGCATGACGGGGGGGGGGGGTGGTTCGGGCCTGACCCTTCCCCCCCTCCCCGGGGGTGGTGGGGGGCAGTGGGGGGTGGGGAGGGGTCGGTTGGGTCCGTTGCGGGGGGGGGGGGGGTGGGGGCTGCCCCCCCTCCGCACCCCCTCCGTATACGTTGTACTTGGCCGGGCCGTGCTGGGGGGGTCGCGGAGGGGGGGGGAAGGGTTGGGAGCGGGGAGGAGTGGGGGGGAGCGCGGCGCGGGGGTTGCCGGGAGTTGTAGTCCCTCGGCGGCGCCGCGCCGCAGGTGCCGGTAGGCGAGTGGACTGCGCTTCCCGGCGGCCCCCGCGAGCGCTGCGAGCGGGAGGCGTGTTGATGGGCAGCGGGCGGGGCCAATCGGGGCGCGCCCTCCGCCCAGCGCGCCCGCCCCGCCCGCCGCCGCCCGGCCCAATGGCGGGCGCCGCGCGGGGTGGCCGGGGACGGGCGCGGCGGGGCCTGCGCGGCCCCCCCGCCCGGGCCCGCGACCCCCGCCCGGGCCCGGTCCCGCCGCGACCCCCGCCCGCCCCGCCGCCCCCGCGGGGCCGCAGGGACCTCGCCCCCCCTCCTCCCCCCCGCGCCCCCCGCCCCCGCCTCCCCCCGGCCTCCATTGCGGCGCCCGCCCGCCCGCCCGGGGGAAGGGGTGGGGTCGTGGCGCCCGGCCAAGGCTCCCTGTGGGCCCCGCGGGGGGGGCGGCCCGGGCCGGCGGGGGGGGAGGCCGGTCATGGGTGGGGTCCCCCGGGGCCGCCCCGTGCGGGGGCGTCGGGCCGCGCCGTCCCCGCGCACCCCAAGGTCGTTGGCGGCCGGGGGGCGCCGGCCCGGCCCTGCCCGCCCCGCTCCGGCCCTGCGCGCCCGGCGTTGTTTTTACCCCCCTCGGGCGTCCCTTATCTCCCCCCGGCCGGCTGCGGGCAGGGGGGGCCGCGGTGATAATCCCCCCGCGGGGCTGGGGCGCTGCTGCCCGCAGGAGCCCGGCGGGATAAGCCTCTCCCCCCCCGGGACTGCGCAGCGCCCAGGGCTCGGGTGAGGGGCAGCATCCCTGGGAGCTGCCAAAACATTCCCCGCGTGCCCGGGCAGCCGGCGCTGCCTCCCCATCGTCATCCCCCACCCGGGGCTCGGCTTTGGGCACGGTGGTTCCGGTCAGGTGCCCAAACGTGCCGTGCCGTGCTGAGGCCCCCGTGACACAGGCAAAGGTCCCTGCCCTGCTCCCCTCGGAGCGGGGCTTGGTGGGGCTGGAGACGGGACAGAGTCACGGACACACCGCTGGGAGCGTGGGCTGGCAGCCGGGCGCTGCCAGGGAAAGGGTTCCTTGGCCGTGTTGTTCCAGGAGTGTGGGGAAAGTTGGTTTGTGGAGCTGTATCAGGACAGGCTGAGGTTGGAGATGAGGAAAAGGTGCTTTTTCCAGAGCATGGTGGGGTGCTGGACAGATTCCCCAGGGAATTCCCCAGGCCCCGAGGCTGCCAGAGCTCCAGGAGCGTTTGGACAGCACTGCCAGGGATGCCCAGGGTGGGATTATTGGGGTGTCTGTGCAGGGCCAGCAGCTGGGCTGGGTGATCCCTGTGGGTCCCTTCCAGCTGAGGTTATTCCATGATTCCATGGAAAGCCCTGGGACTCCGGCAGCACCACCAGAACGTGTAAATCCCAATGTTCCTCCGCTGAAAGCGACAGTTCCTGTTGTACAAGCCCAGCCGACGTGACTGCCCGGCCCCTGCCTGGCTCTCAGTGTTCCCTGAGCTCCTGCAGACCCTCAGGACGGCTTTGGGCAGCCAAAGTTTCTGTGGGCTCAAGGACTCTCGGTGCTGAGAGTTTGCTGCCGTCCCAGCTCAAGAGCAGCCGTGTTCCCAGGGCTGTTGCTTGTCCTGGCTATCGAAACCATAACTTATATAATAACTGGTTTATGGACACGGGGAGAGAAAGGTTCTGCCTGGAAGAATTTACAACCTAATGAGGGTTGAAGTTGTGCTCGGCGTAGCAGCGGAGCTAAAAGGTCATCGCGGCGCTTTCCAAAAGTGTTTGGGGTGGTTGCTGGTGGTGTTTTTCAAGGAATTGTGTGATTTCTCAGGGATTCTGCCCGTCCTGGTTGGAAATTGGAGCGTGTGGGCTCTTCTGGAGGCTGAGCAGGAAGAGCTGGGCTGGCTTTAATTCTGATGGTTTTGCTGGAGTTGTTGGATTTCAACTACTTTAAAAAAAAAATAAAAGAGACCGAGAGAAACTGAGGAGTTTATTAGAGAGGAGCCTTTCTTGTTTAATATTCATTCTGGCCCCTGTTTAGGCTTGTTCTGGTGAAAGAGGGAGTGAAGAGGCGCAACCCAAACACGGGTGAGATGGTGGGATTTTTCCACCAAGCCTTAATTGCTTCAGTAACTCCAGGGAGGGTTTTGCAAGGCAGGAGCTCTTAATAAACGTGGTGGTGAATGAAAGTAGTTCCTCACTTTGCTGCTCTGCAACTCTTCCTCTGCCTTTTTTTTTTTTTTTTTTTTTAATTATTAATCGTTTTTCACTCGTATTTCATCTCGTGGCCGTGGGTCTGGTGAAGATCTTTAGCTGTGGCTTCATGAGGAGCTCTGCTCTGTGGAGGAGCTGGGTGGAATTAATTTGGCACGGTGAGGGCGGCCGGGCTCCCTTCGTGTTTGGTGACTTTTGGAAGCAGAATTAAAAATTCCAGTTGTTCTCCCAGCGTGGGAATTTGGATGTGGGCACGGGAGGCAAATGAGGGGTGAAATTTATGCTGCCACCGAGGCTCTGTGGTGGTTTGGGTGCTCCTGTCTCCCTGTTTGGGGATCGAGTGCTGGGGTTGAGCTGCAGGATCGAGTGCCAGGCAGGTGTCCCGCCTGAAAATCCCGCGTGTGTGTTTGGGACAGAGTCTAAATGCTTGAGAACTGCAGTTTAATCTTGATTTAAACTGACACTTGAGGGTTCTCTCCCCGTCTCGGGATGCTGAGTTTTTTGGAAGACGAGCTTGTGTGGCGAACAATTAGAACCCTGCTCCTTATCTCTCCTAGTCCAGGCAATAAACAGTTGCTTTAACTACACTCTCAACCAGCCTTAACCTCAAATTCGAGCAGACCGGTCCCAGTCTGTAATTAAAAGCCTTTTGAGGAGCAGAACTCAGGGAAAGGGAGGAAGACAGGCAGTGTCTGGGCTGGGGGAAGCGTTCATCCCCGAGCCCGTGGCCCTTTGATCCCAGCGGTGCCGTGTCCGTCGCTGTACCTGTGCCTGCAGCGTCCCAGAGGAGCCGTGCGGGACGTCAGCGGGAGTAAACGAGGTCAGGCCGGGCTGGGATCCTCTCGGAGCAGCCGGGGCCGATTGTTCGTGCCCGTATCGCCTTCCCTGCGCTCAGTTTCAGTTTCCCACCGGCTCCGGTGGCGCGGCCGGGCCGGCTCCCGGCGGGGCTCCGGGGGTGTCCCGGGTGCAGGTGCTGCAGGGGAACTGAAGGGAACTGAGGGGAACCAAAGGGCTCGGCTTAGGGCCACGAGGTGCGAGAAACTGGAGACTGCTGCGAGCTGCCCCGGGGCTGCAGGTGGGAGCCAAGGGCACGGCGGTGGGATGAGCCGCAGATCCCCTGGCAAGCAGCGGCTTCCCAGCAGCCTGGCATCGCCCAGCCCTGGAAAAATGTGCGGCCAGAGAGCCGGGAATGTGACCTGCCAGCGCTGGCCTGGCCGGCTGGAACGCTGGCGTCCTCCTGGGCATGAAATCCTGACACCCTCGGGGTTGTTGTCCTCCTGTTCCCCACCCTGTGCCCACCTGCCTGGAACGCTGGCGTCCTCCTGGGCATGAAATCCTGACACCCTCGGGGTTGTTGTCCTCCTGTTCCCCACCCTGTGCCCACCTGCCTGGAACGCTGGCGTCCTCCTGGGCATGAAATCCTGACACCCTCGGGGTTGTTGTCCTCCTGTTCCCCACCCTGTGCCCACCTGCCTGGAACGCTGGCATCCTCCTGGGCACAAACTCCGGGTCATTCTCCTGTTCCCCACCCTGTGCCCACCTGCTGGAATGCTGGCATCCTCCTGGGCATGAAATCCCAGCACCCTTGGGGTTGTTCTCCTCCTGCTCCCACTGCCTGGAACGCTGGCACCCTCCTGGGCACAAACTTGGGGTCGTTCTCCTCCTGTTCCCCACCCTGTGCCCACCTGGAGCCCGTGCCCCTCTCCCCACCTGTCGCTGTCCCTGGTTTCTGCACACCAGAGGATGCTCCCAGCGCTGGGTTTTAACTCCCTCCTCCCCGCCCTTCCCTCCACTCCTGCTCCCATTTCCTTCCTGCTTCATGCACCTCCTCATTTCCCACCAGCACGCTGGGAACCAGTGAGTGAATGAGATTTTTCCCCGTTGTTTGCTGGAGCTGGGAAGTGCCGGAGGTGGGCTTGTAGCTACAGGTTGCAGCTCCCGGAGCCTCTGCCCCAACGAGCAGAGCAGAGAGGGATCAGGATCAGCATTCCCTGGTGCACCCCAGCAGGGCAGGAAGGAAGGAAGGAGGGAGATCCGTGCCTGATGGAGCCCTGCTTGCTCCAGGGATTCGCTTTTGCTCGTCATGCCCTGAGCCGGGAATGGCGGGACGAGCTGACTGTTAATCCACAAACTGGGAATTACATAAGGGGCTGCCCTGCCCTGCTCTCTCGCCAAACCCCAGCCTTATTCTTTTATTTATTTCGCCTTTTCTTTTCCCCCCCTCAACCTTCCCGGTGTGGAAAAGAACAGCAGGTCTGTGAGGTGTCATTTGAGGCAGTTAGATTGATGCCAGAGCCTCGGGCTGGGAATGTCAGGAGTGGTGGGGGGACAGTCCTGGGACAGGGGACAGCTCTGGGGGCTCCTGCAGCAAATGGGAACGGGGGGGATTTGGGGTTTGAGCAGTTTTAGGGCTCTCTGTTTAGGGGTCAGGAGAGATGACAAGGCTGGGGAATGTGTGAGGGGTAAATTCTGTCTGGCACCTGTGGGAATGGGGATTTGAGGTTTGAGCAGTTTTTATGGCTCTCTCCGTTCAGGATGCCACGAGAGCTGTGACAGGAGAGGGGAAATGTGGGGTGAAGGGGTGGATGGGATTGGTTTCTCTCAAGGAAACACTGGAGTGACTTTGGGAGGATTTTGGCTGGAGTGGGGACAGGCTCTGGCCGCTGAAGGGGAGGGGGTGTCCAAGCATGACCTGCTCCGGTTGTCCTCCAGCCTGGAGCAGCTGGGCCGTGCTGGGGGTTAAAGCCTGGAGTCCTCAATCGCTCCCTTGCAAAGGGGCCCCACGCTGCCTTTTGGAGAGCAGTTGCTTATTCCTGCCTGGATCCTGGTGCCTGCAGGCTCCCGGGTTGGAAAAGAACTCCTGGGAGAGAGCAGCTCCTGCAGCCAGCACTGGGGCACACACAGCCTCGTGCTTTGTGCCCTTCTTCCCCTTTTTCCCTGACACTCCTGAGACTTTGTGAAGTATTTTGGAGAACTGTGGCGGGCTCAGCCACGGCCTGGTGTTGTCCAGAATCTCCCAAATCAGGGAGTTTTCCCACAGGTGGGAGAGAACCTGTTGGAGGGCCAGGGCTGCAGCAGTGTGGGCTCACTGGGGCTCAGTGAAAAGGGTTTGTTTGGGCAGCAAAACTGATTTTCCTTGAGTTCCAGGGTATCCAGCCTTCCTGGGCTCTGGGCTGAGCTCAGGAGGACTCAGCTTAGCCTGAGGGTTGATGAGGCCTGGGAGGTGCTGGAACAGAGCTGGGTTTGGAGCAGGGATTGGGGGTCTTTGGGCAGCTCTCAGCAGTTTGGGGTTTGTTTTGTCTCCGTGCAGGGGAATTCTGGGACCTGTTGGTGCTGCTGGGGACAATCCCAGCACACAGAGGTGGTGCCATGGACTTTAGTGCTGGGGATGGGGGAGCTGCTCACCCCAAAATACCCCTCACACCCAGAGCTGGGGTGGGAGACTCCCTGGGCTAAAAGGCACATTCCTGCCGGATTAAATCCGGCCTCTGATGACAAAGGAGAAAATTGGCAAGGAGGGCTGGGTGGAGGAACCAGTTCAGGCTCACCTTGCAACATGAGAGGAGTTTGGTGCTGTCAGGGCTGGGGGTGGCAGCTGGGGAGGCTCTGGAGCAGCACCGGTGTTTGGCCACCCCGTTGTCCATCGGGATCCACGTCCTGCCTTTGGCCAGCGGCTGGGATTGAGGTTTCCCAGGAGCTGTGCTGGGCCCTGCAAGGAAATCCCAGCCCAGTTCCATCCCTGGGAGCTGTGGGATGTGGCACTGGGCTGTGGAGGTGAATCCTTGGGGAGGGAGCTGTGGCTTTGGGAGCTCTTCGGGAGCTGTGTCTTTCGGAACAGAGTCTTGCCCAGGCCTTTGGGATGAGCCTGTTCTTGGTGACATTTGTCCTTCCTCTGGAGCAATTCCACACCTGGCTTGTCCAGCCTCATCTGGCCCAGCACGTGAAAACCATTGGAGTTCAGGCAGTTTGGGAAAACCAAGAGGAACAATTCCCTTTCTTCCTGGTGGCTCCATAGCAGCATTCCCAACAACTCCCTGTCGCTGATGAGGGACCCCAGACCTCCAGCCCCACCTTGGTGGTCCCTCCATGGTTCCTGCTTTCATGGCTCTTTATTCCATTGAAGTTCCTGGGATGTTCAGACCCAGGGCCCCATCCAGACTTGAGTGGGAGCAGCTGCTCTTCCTGCCAGAAGCTGCAGGATGTGGGATTCTCCTCTCCTGGCTGCTCCTGCAGTGCTTTGGGTGCTTCTTCCCTGGGCCTGGAGTGCCGGGGGAAGGGGGAACATCCCATCTCAACCTCCTCTATTTGAATCCATTCCCCCTTGTCCTGTCCCTCCTCGTCCCTCCCTTCTCCCTTGGAGCCCCTTCAGGCACTCCAGAGCTCTTGCAGCGGCATTGCAGCATCCTGAGCACCTACAAGAAGTGGGGTGCTCTGATCTTGGGAAGGAGCAGAGCAGTGAACCCCTCTGAGGAGCCCCTGGAGCAGGGTTTGGTCAGGGCTGGGATCTGATCCTCTTTGGGAACCAGCTGAGTCCTCCTGGTGTGCTTCAGTCTCATTGCTCATTGCTCACACCCCAAATCCAGAGCTGTGGTCGCTTCTCGCTGTTGAGGGGCTGCAGGGGATGGATGCCCGTGCTTGGGGAGCAGAGCCAGATTGTCCAGAGCAGCCACAGACATTTGCAGGGCGCTGGTTCTGCCCCAGTCTCTTCACTTCAGGAGCTGCATGATCTTGGTCATGTTACCCCAGATGGGTGTCCAGCAGGACAGAAGAAAGCTGGAATTCACTCTTGGCCATTGATGACTCCATTGCCTTCTCAAGACCAAGGATTTCTTCCCACTTCACCATTGAAAATGTAATTTTCTTTAAAAGAAAAGCAGGCTGAGGGGTTTTTTAATCTCGATTTTCCCCACAGTGCAGTTCTGTTGATGTTCAGGGTCTTCCTCTCAGGAGCACCCAGCTGGTTCTCCAGGTCCAAATAATTGGGATAGCTTGGCCCTAAGGCACCGACAGCACATTTCCTTGTTGGGAGCAGCTGAGTTTCCGTGGCCCGGTGGAGTGGTTGGAATTGTGACTTTTCCCAAGCAGACAGAACCTTCTCTTCCCTTTATCCTTCCCCTTTCCCCTTCCCTCCCCATCGCCGTTCCCAGCTCCCAGTGCCAGCTGTGTGTGTGTCCCGGGGCTCGCTGCAGTTTCGGGTGCATCCTGGGCAGGGTGGGACCTGCTGGGGCCTGTCCTGGGCTGCTCCCAGCCCAGCTCTGCCTCTGCTGCCCTGGCCACAGAGCTGGCACCGCCAGGCTGGCACAGCTGGGGCGCTGGGGTGGGCTGTCCTAAATGTGAACATTGGGGTGGGGTGCTTGTGGGGTGGGAGCTGTTCTAGGGGAAATGCCTGTTTGTGCAGGGTGGTGAGGGAGCGCTGGGGTCGTGTTTGGGCTTGGGCAGCAGCCCCTGGGGTGGTTTTTTATGTAAAGAACAATTTTCAGCAGTCCCTGGGGTGTTTTTTTGGTGTAAATCACCATTATTTTAATAATTCTCCCCTGGTGCTGCTGCTGAAGCTGCCCTGCCTCAGTCGTGTGTGTGTGTGCTGCAAGAAATCCCAGAGCAGCTTGGGATCCTTGGGCACCTTGAGTATCCCGAGTTCCAGAATGGTTTGGGTTGGATGCCCCTGAAATGTTCCTGCCACGGGCAGGGACATCCTGGAGTGACCCAGGGTGCTCCAGCCTGGCCTTGGGCACTGCCAGGGCTCCAGGGGCAGCCACAGTTCTCCCCAATATCCCTCTCACCCTGCCCTGTCAGTTTGATCCATTCTCTCATGCCCTGTCCATCCTCATGTCCAGAGTTCCTCTCCATCCCACAGGCACTCCCAGAGCTCAGCTCTCCCCAGGAAATGCTGCCCTGTGCGTTGCAGAACTCCCCAAAGCCATTTTGCCTCGTGCTGCATGGGAAGGGCGATGCTGATTCTCCCTTCCTGCCCCCAGCAGGTGCCAGGTGTTGCTCAAGTTCTCACCTGTGCCGCTGCCGAGGGCGGCACCTCTGCCTTTGGAAGGGATTTGGGATCTTTTCCGGATTAGAGCGCGTAGGGAGCGTTGGCCGTTCCTGTTGCCCAGGTGTGACCCAGCTCTTCCACCTGGCTGTTCCTCAGCCCTCCCAAACTGCTCAGCTTCCTCTGAATTTTAAGGCCAAGAAGTGAAGGGAAAAGGCAAAACAACCGCTGAGGTTCTGTGGAAAACTGGTAATTGAAGAGGTGTTTTGTCAGCACTTTTGGTTGGGATCCCATCTTGATGTGGTCGCCTCATTTGAATGTAAATGTCAAATTCCAGAGCTCCTGGAGGAGAGGGATTGGGTGACATCCTGCTGAGGGAAGCACAAGCTCAGGGGTTTCAGTGAGCCCTGGGTGCTGCTCGTGGGCTGGGGGGGTCTGGGAGGAGAGAGGTGAGAAATTGAGTTTAAAAAAAGGAAAATAAAATGGCAGCGCTGAGGTCACAGCTGGGGTGCTGTGTCAGAAGGACACAGAGGGGCTGGAGAGAGCCCAGGGAAGGGAATGGAGCTGGGAAGAGTCTGGAAAACATCTGAGGGAGCTGGGGAGGCTCAGGAGTGACCTTGTGGCTCTGCACAGCTCCTGGCTGGGGGCACAGCCAGGAGGGGTCAGGTTCTGCTCCCAGGGGACAGCAGGACAAGAGGGAACAGCCTGGAGTGACACCAGGGCGGGCTCAGGGTGGGTACGGGGACGATTTCTGCATGGAGAGAACGATTGGGCATTGCCCAGGGAGTCCCCATCCCTGGAGGTGGCTCTGGGCTGGGGACAAGGTGGGGATTACACACAGCTGGGGCTCAGGGATCCTGCAGGGCTTTTCCAACCTCAGGAATTCCATTTCAGTGTTGAGGAGCAGCGTCCAAAGGCGATGGGGAATCAGCTGGATGTGGAACATCAGCTCAGGGAGGTGGATAACGTCCCTTACTACCTTTCAGCACCCAAAAAATGACATTTTTCCTGCCTGTGTGTGCCAGGCTGGCCTGTGGAGCTGGAACAGCCACAGCTCTGCTGTGTTGGGGTTTTGGAAGCTCTGAGGGGGCTCAGAGCAGGGCTGGGACTGCGCAGGGAGTCCCACCAGGCTGTCAGTGATGTTCCTGAATCCCCTGGAGGGCTCTGCTGCTGCTCCAACCCCTCCTCCTCCTCCTCACGGGCTGTAGTTCACCTCAGTAGTCCCCTCTCAGTTGGGCCATTCCCAAACTTGTCCCCCAGTGCCCCTTTTGGGGTGCAGTGTGGCACCTCTGAGCCCTGCAGAGCCACCCAGGGCCCTGGAGCACCCCAGGCAGGGAGGCAGGGGGGGAATGGAGCTGCTGGGAAATGCAGGTCAGGAGTTGAGGCTCCCCCTTGGTGGCCCATTCAGGCCTTGCCTCGCCGGGCAGGGACGAGCTGTGGTTGTGCCAGCGGCCTTTGTCGCTGTCACCTGGCTTCAGCACATTCCCAAGTGGATTTTGCCCATCCATCGTGGCCTTGAGCCCCGGTGCCGTGAGCAAACAGTGGATTTGGGGTGCTTGGAGCAGCTTTTGAGTCACCCACCTTTCCCAGAACCCCAAACCCATCCTCTGGAACGCTCCATTTCCCATTGGAGCTGTTGGAAAGGGAATTGGGGGATGTTTCAGGGACTCAGTCTCTGGCTGTGGCTGGAGCACCCAGGCCCTGAGCCCATTCCTGGGGGGCTCAGGACGCCCCCTTTGCCCCCAGCAGCCCCGGGCACGGCGGCCGTGGGACACAAAGGCCGTGTTGTGTGCGGGGTGGCCGAGTTGGAGCAGGCTCCAGGGGCAGTCTCATGACCCTGCAGCCATTCCCACACTGTGGGGATGATTATCCCGGCCCCAGGCTGGGGGGGGACCTTGTCTGGCTGCTCCCCAGAGCTGGGCTGTGTGGGGACAGACACAGCTCCCTCAGGACCCTCCAAACGCTGCACGCAGCTCCAGCTCACTGGGTTTGGGAGGAAAACAATTGTAAAGCATCTCTGGTAGAGAGGAGGGAGAGGGGGAAGCTCCAGAGCTGGCTTTGGGGCTGGCAGGGATGTGGGATCTGCTCCAGTCAGGTTTTGGGGGGCTCTGGAGCTGCCCCGGTGGGAGTGGGACAAGTGGGGATGAGGCAGCAAAGCCTCCCTGGAGCCCCAGCTCGGGATCCCCTGGGATCCCTGGAGATGCTGGGTTGGGGTGACCTTGTCCTGGGATCCCCTGGGATGGGGTGACCTTGTCCTGGGATCCCCTGGGATGGGGTGACCTTGCCCAAGGTCACCCCTGAAGCCAGGTCTGGTGTGGAATGGTGCCACCAAACAGCCCTTTCCTCCCTGATGTAAAATCCATGAAATGAGGGTTTAAAGGTCAAAGCCAGGAGCTCAGGAGGTGGCTCTGGAGTCGATCCCAGGAGTCTCAGGAGGCCACCTGGCCTTGGTGCTTGGTGTTGGTGGCAGGGCTGGTGCCTGCCCTGCCCATCCAGCCCCCCTGGTCCTCCCTCCTCCTCCTCACCCCATCCCATTCCTGCTGGGAGCTCAGTCCTGGTGTCCTCCTGCTGTTGGTTACCCAGGGATTGCTCCAGATCCCTTCTCCACAGCCCCAGACCTGCCTTCTCCTGCCTTTTCTCTGTATGAAACAGGAAGGTGCCAAAGTTAAACTTATCTTCTGGGCTCAACAAAACGTTTCAAAAAGAAGTAAATATGGAAAACTACTGAGGAGGCCGGGGGTGGGTGGGGGAAGCCGGAGTTGTGCAACCTGGGCTCCTGCTCCGTGCTGGGACCCGGGGCTGGGAGCTGCTTCCTGAATAATTATTGCTGTTCTGGCTCCATCCTGACTCATCCGTCCCCCCATGGCCTGGGACAGGCCACGTCCCGCCGTGCCTCAGTTTCCCCAGCTGGAAATCAGGAACCCGGGTACTCCAGCCTTGTGCTGGGGTGAATTTTGCACTGGTTTGTGTGTGGATTTCTTGGCTCCTGCTGATCCCAGTGCTTGGGATGGGGGAGTTACACTGATTTCCCAGCAAATCGCTGCTTCAAGGAGCGTGTGGATTTGTGCTTGAGATGGACAGGAGGGAAATGCTATTCTTAATTTCTGGGATTGTGGGAGAATTAGGGACTGCTCGGGCTCACAGTCAGGCCCCAGTGCCCATTTCCCAGCAAAGGCTGGGTTTTTCCAGCCTTTGGAGTCAAGTGGATGTGTCAGGAGTGACTTTATTTATTTATCTTGTCCCAAACAAACCCTTGGCATTGGGAAGAGCTGCTGCTTCTGCTGGAGCCTGTCCAGGATTTGGGTTTGGTGCTGGCACTCGGTGATCCCGGTGTCCTTTCCTGTCTCCTGCCCCAGGAAGGAGCAGGAGCTGCCTCAGCCTCCAGGGATCAGCTCTGCTCTGTCAAACACCTGCAGCAGCAGCGTGGGGAGGCCGGGGCTCCTCTCCCTGCCCTTCCCAGGGGATATTCCCTGCCCAGCCCCTCCAGGGGTGCCGGCAGCCAGGGATCAGTGACGGGAATGGTGTCCCAGTGCTGACATCGCCGAGCTGGGGACCTTCCAGCAGGGATGGGGCTGGGAGATGCTCCCAGGGCAGGACTGGGATGCACTGGGGAGCTCAGGGTGCCGTAGCCCCACGCTGGGCACAGCTGTGCCCGCTCCAGGTGCTGCCTGGCTGGGTGATGCCAGCTCCCTGCCAAGGCTTGCTGCTCTGGCCCGGATCCGTGCTAATTCAGCTGTTCTCACTCGAGAGCACCTGGCCTCTGTTCCTCCTCCTCCTCCTCCTCCTCGCCAGGTAAGCACAGGCCGGGCAGGACGATGGGAGAGGCACGGGGACACCCTGCCAGGTGCGTCCCTGAGGAATCTGGGGATTCTCCCGATGTCTCCGAGCTCTGACTCACGGCCTTGCCCTCCTTCCCCGCAGCCTTTAGCCTGGAAGATGGCGGGTGGCGTGGACGGCCCCATAGGGATCCCGTTCCCGGATCACAGCAGCGACATCCTCAGCAGCCTGAATGAGCAGAGGAACAACGGGCTGCTGTGCGACGTGGTCATCCTGGTGGAAGGCCAGGAGTTCCCCACCCACCGCTCCGTCCTGGCGGCGTGCAGCCAGTACTTCAAGAAGCTCTTCACCTCAGGGTTAGTGGTGGACCAGCAGAACGTGTATGAGATAGACTTTGTGAGTGCGGACGCGCTGTCGGCGCTGCTGGAGTTCGCCTACACCGCGACCCTCACCGTCAGCACTTCCAACGTCAACGACATCCTCAACGCCGCCACGCTGCTGGAGATCCCGGCCGTCAGGGATGTCTGCACGGATCTCCTGGAGAGGAAGATTCTGGCCAAAAATGACCAGATGGATACAGTAGATCAAATTGATCAGAGGAACCATCTCAGAGCAAAAGAGTACCTGGAGTTCTTCCAGAGCAACCCCGTGAACGGCCACCAAGGCAGCTTTCCGTGGACCAACCCAGAGTTGAGAGACCTTCAGAGACTGAACTTCCGAGGCCAAGAGGAGGAGGAGGAGGCGAACTGCAACGGCCTGGACTTCTACTCGCAAGCCACCCCAACCGAAAGACCAAAGGCAAGTGACTGTGACCCCGACAGCAACCCGGCCATGTGGCTGGAGCGCGAGGACGAGGAGCAGGTGGGCGGCGGGATGTTCTCCCCTTCCCAGAACGGACATTACAGCAGCCGCGGCCTGGCCACCCCGGCCGAGGAGGAGGGGGGCACCCCCAGGGGCCCCCTGGACCCGCAGGAGGCCGGGGACTCGCCCAGCTTCATCCCCACGGGCACGGAGACGGAGGACGATGCCAGGGAGGTGGATGACCTGGCCGCCAGCGCCCTGCTCCAGCAGATGATCAACTCGGTGGGGCGGCAGCAGCTCGGCGACGACGACCGCAAGGACGAGGACGGGGTCATGGATTATTACTTGAAATATTTCGGCAGTTCCAGCGAGGGCGACGTGTACCCGTCCTGGTCGCAGAAGGTGGAGAAAAAGATCAGGGCGAAAGCATTCCAGAAGTGCCCCATCTGCGAGAAGGTGATCCAGGGCGCCGGGAAGCTGCCGCGCCACATCCGCACCCACACCGGGGAGAAGCCCTACGAGTGCAACATCTGCAACGTCAGATTCACCAGGTACGGCTGGGAACAGGGGCTGCACACACATCTGGGGGCTGCACACAAACCTGGGACTGCACACAAACTCAGTGACTGCACCCAAATCCAGGGACTGCACACAAACCTGGGGTCTGCACCCAAACCCAGCCCTCCCCTCACTCCAGGAGCCAGCCCAGGGTGATTTTATCTCTCTGCTCAACTCATTTCCATCCTAACTGGTGAGTTGGGGCTGGAGGCCAAAGTTTTCCAGGGAGCACTTTGGGGGTGTGACACCTGAGCTATCTCAAAGGGCCTGGCTCGATGGCCACCGCCCCCATCCTGCTGTCCTGACTTGCTGAGCTCTGCTGGGAACCTGACTTGGGGGAAACAAGCTGGAGCTCTTGGTCTGTCCATTGAGGCAGGAGCAGGGGCATGGTTTGGGCATGGCTCATGGCATGGCTGAGGTGTCCCTGGCTGGGTTGGAGGGAGGTTGGAGCCCACTCGTGTCCTTGGCAGAGCGAGCTCTGCAGCCCCGGTGCAGCTCCCGGGGGCGTTTGCCACGGGCCCGTTCCTAATCAGGGCTGCTCTGCTCCCTGCCTGGGCCACGGCAGCACCAAAGAAAGGGGACATTGTTTGGGCAGCTCCGGTTCACTCCAGTCCGTGCCCGGGCGCCGCCTCCTCTCCCCGGCTCTGCGGGGCTGGGCCGGCCCGGGGGTCCCAGCCTGGAGAGGCCTGGGCCTGCTGTGGGCTGACGGCCTGGGGCTGCTGCCTTCCCTTTCCCTTTCCCTGCTGCCTTCCCTTTTCCCTGTCTGCTCCTTTCCCTGTTCCCTGTTCCCTTTCCCTGCTCCCTTCCTTTTCTCTGTTCCCTTTCCCTGTTCCCTTTCCCTTCCCATTCCCTTGCCTTCCCTTTTCCTGCTCCCTTCCCTTTCCGTTTCCTTTCCCTGCTCCCTCTCCTTTCCGTACCCTTCCCTGCTCCCTTTCCCTTCCTTTTTTCCGCTCTTTTTCCCTTCCCTTTCCCTGCTCCTTTTCCCTTTCCTTTCCTTTCCCTGCTCCTTTTCCCTCTCCCTGCCTGCCCACATGTTCCCACTGTGTCACTTCCCCCGGCCCTTCCAGCCCCTGGTGCTCTGGGGGCTCCATCCCGAGTGGGCTCCGTGTGAGCTCCCCGGGGTGCAGCCCGAGGGGCCGAGGCCGTGTCCTGCCCCTTCCCCTGGTCCCGGCCGCGCCCAGCCCACGTTGGAGAGCTGAGGAATGCAGATAATGGCAGGGGCAGGGTGCCAGCCCTCCCTCCCCGCTCCCCCGGCCCTGCCACGCGGCACCTCCCTGCTCGGGGCCGGGGCTGATCCCACAGCGACCCCACAGCCATCCATAGGGACCCCAGGGCCACCCCACAGCCACCCCAGAGCCACCCCACTGCCATCTCCCCCCCGTGCACCATCCACGGCACTGCAGGACCTGGAAGTGCCACAAGGTCCCTGGCAGCGGCTGGCACTGACATGAGGGGAGGCACAGCAGGGACTTGTGGGGAGGGAGAGTTGGTAGAACAGTGCCCCTCATCCTTTTTCCATCCTGCTCCCGTTCCTTGGCATTAGGATCTGCTCCCATTCTGTAGGACCCTGCTCCCATTCTGTGGGATTAAGAGCCTGCGCTCATTCTGTGGGATTAGGATCTGCTCCCATTCCTGGGGATGAGGACCCTGCTCCCATTCTGTGGGATGAGAACCCTGCTCCCATTCTGTAGGATCAGGACCCTGCTCCCATTCTGTGGGATTCTGGTCTGCTCCCTGCTGGCTCCCAGGAGGGCCTGGCACCTGTAAAAAAGCTGCTTTTCCAAGCCACCAGATTCCAGCCAAAATACATCATCCTCCTGCTGCTTCCCACAGCAGCTTTGGGAAGCCTGGACAGGGACAGGGAGCTGTCCTTGGCATCGCTTTTCCCGTGCCCTGAACTCCATTTATTCCATGTTATTTATTCCCTATGATTTATTCCCTATGATTTATTCCGTATTATTTATTCCCTACTATTCCTTTGCTCTCCTTCCCCATCCACGGCTGGAATCAAGTCCCTTCCCTGTTCCATGGGAGGGCTCTGGGAGGGGGTTTGGGGTGTGGCAGGAGGATCGGGGCTGCTCCAGCCGCTGTTCCCCACCCAGCCCGGCCCTGCTCAGGGATTTTTGCTCCCTGGCGTTTCCTGGTTCCTCTGCGGTCACAGGGGGAGGAGCAGCTCCCATAAAAAAAGAGCTGGGGAGGTTATAAAATGATAAATTTTAATTTCACAAGCCACTTTGTGTGTCACTCAGAGCTGGACACGACCTTGGGGCTTTGATCCTTTCCTGGGCTTTAGGGTTTTTGGGATCCTGTGGGTAAAGGGAGAAGGTTCAGGGCTGGGATCTGGGTGATCCGTGCAGGAATGGGGTGGATCCCTTGGGAAGGGTCGGGAGGTGCTGGGGAGGGCAGGAGGGGCTGCCCTGCCTGGCCCCAAATGAGCCACGTGTGACCCCATAGCTGTGATCAGCCTGGCTGGGCAGGGGGTGACCCCATAACGCTGCCCAGACCCCATAGAAGGGCACTGTGTGACCCCATAACCATGCTCAGACCCCATATGGGGCAATGTGTGACCCCATAACGCTGCCCAGACCCCATATGGGGCAATGTGTGACCCCATAACCCTGCTCAGACCCCATAGAAGGGCACTGTGTGACCCCATAACCCTGCTCAGACCCCATATGGGGCACTGTGTGACCCCATAACCCTGCTCAGACCCCATATGGGGCACTGTGTGACCCCATAACCCTGCTCAGACCCCATATGGGGCACTGTGTGACCCCATAACCCTGCTCAGACCCCATATGGGACACTATGTGACCCCATAACCCTGCTCAGACCCCATATGGGGCAATGTGTGACCCCATAACCCTGCTCAGACCCCATATGGGACACTATGTGACCCCATAACCCTGCTCAGACCCCATATGGGGCAATGTGTGACCCCATAACCCTGCTCAGACCCCATATGGGGCACTGTGTGACCCCATAACCCTGCTCAGACCCCATATGGGGCAATGTGTGACCCCATAACCCTGCTCAGACCCCATATGGGGCAATGTGTGACCCCATAACCCTGCTCAGACCCCATAGAAGGGCACTGTGTGACCCCATAACCCTGCTCAGACCCCATATGGGGCACTGTGTGACCCCATAACCCTGCTCAGACCCCATATGGGGCACTATGTGACCCCATAACCCTGCTCACACCCCATATGGGACACTATGTGACCCCATAACCCTGCTCAGACCCCATATGGGGCACTATGTGACCCCATAACCCTGCTCACACCCCATATGGGACACTATGTGACCCCATAACCCTGCTCAGACCCCATATGGGGCACTGTGTGACCCCCATATGTGACAGTGTGTGACCCTACCATCACACCCTGCGCTGGGTGATGCTCAGCCCCACACCAGGAGCTCCCCATTCCAATGCCCATCCCCACACCAGGAGGTGCCCATTCCAGTGCCCATCCCCACACCAGGAGCTGGTCAGTCCTGTGCCAATATCCATCCCCACACCAAGAGCTGCTCAGCCCCATTCCAGCCCCGTTCCAGCCCTGTATTGATGCCCATCCTCACACCAGGAACTGCCCATTCCAATGCCCATCCCCACACCAGGAGCTACTCAGCCCCGTTCCAGTGCCCATCCCCACACCAGGAGCTGCTCAGCACCGTTCCAACCCCATTCCAGCCCTGTATTGCTGCCCATTCCCACACCAGGAGCTGGTCAGTCCTGTGCCAATGTCCATCCCCACACCAGGAGGTGCCCATTCCAATGCCCATCCTCACACCAGGAACTGCCCATTCCAATGCCCATCCCCACACCAGGAGGTGCCCATTCCAATGCCCATCCCCACACCAGCCGCTCCAGCCCCCTCCCATTGCCACCCCGTCCCCCACCCCTGCCCCTCCGTGCCCCCCAGCCCCTGACGTGCCCGTGTGTCCCCGCAGGCAGGACAAGCTGAAGGTGCACATGCGGAAGCACACGGGGGAGAAGCCCTACCTGTGCCAGCAGTGCGGCGCCGCCTTCGCCCACAACTACGACTTGAAGAACCACATGCGGGTGCACACGGGGCTGCGGCCGTACCAGTGCGACAGCTGCTGCAAGACTTTCGTCCGCTCCGACCACCTGCACAGGCACCTTAAAAAAGATGGATGCAACGGGATCCCGTCGCGGAGGGGCCGCAAGCCGCGGGTCAGGGAGGCCGGCGGGGCCTTGCCCCCCACGCCCACGGAGGACGGGAGCGCCCCGGCCCCCGAGGCCGAGGACGCGGCCGCGGGCAGCGAGGAGCAGCAGCAGCACTTTGAGGAGAATTCCAATAACGAAGCGCCGGGATTGAATGTAGCAGGAGGGTCGGATGAGGGTAATGAGCAAGGACTCTCCTAAACCAAAAAAAAAACACAAAAAAAAAAAAAGAAAACAAACCGTAAAACCAACCCCAAGCGATGAAACCAAGTCACAAAATCTAGTTAGTACTTTTCCTCCGATTTTTCTCTTTAAAAGATGTTTCTCTCCCTTTTTTTTAAGGAAAAAGCAAAAAAAAAAAAGCGACAAAAAAAAGAAAAAAAAAAAGAGAGATATTATATTAATGTTTTCCAATCTTCCCATCGTAAGCGGGGCTCTCCCCCGAGGATCCCTCATAGCCAAGGACCTTTTCTTGGAAAGGCAAGGACGCTAGGGAAGCACGAGGTGGGGATGGAAAGTGGCTCTGTCGCATGGAAAAGAGCTTCCATGTAAATCCAAAGCTTTATTTTGTGTCCAAACACATGTTTAAAAAAAAAAAAAAGAAAAGAAAAAAAAACTTATTTCAGAGAGAGATCTATTTAAGAAAAAAAAAGGAAAAAATAGAAAAAAAAAAAAAGGAGTGGTAGGAGTTGGAAGGGCTGTGGCAGGGCGCGGTTTGGGATTTGGGGGCCGGGGGCTCCTTCCCAGGAGATCGGGGTCAGGATTTGGGGTCTGTCCCCCCCAGCCCCCCCTGAGTGCGAGGCTCAGTCGGGCAGCGAGGGCTCCGGGTGGGGAGAAATTGCTGGAAAAATTGCCTAAAAAATAAAAAATCATGTGAGAGAGAGAGGGCAGCAGGTTCGGCAGGGTTTGTGTCGGGCACCCGGGGCTGGGGACGCTGGAGATGGGGACAGGGCAGGGCTGGGGACACCGGGATGGGACAGCAGGGATGGCTCAGCCGTGCTGTGGATCCAGTGTCCATCCCCGTGTCCATCCCCGTGTCCCTCCTGTCCCTCCCCATGTCCCCACTCCGTCCCCACCCCGCAGTGCCCAGGAAGTGCCTGAGTCAGCCCAGCCCCCGCTGCCGGCAGAATTTGGGGCTGGGGGGTCCCAAATCCCCCCCCAGGGAATTTTTATTTTTTATTTTCCCCCACCCCTCTCCCTCCTCCCCCAGGGAATTTTTCCCTCCCCAGCGCAGCCCCAAAAACGCCTCCAAATCCCTTTGGCAAAAAGGTTCTGTGGGGTGACCCTAAAGGAGCAGGAGGCCTTTGGGGAGGGGGAGCAGCTTGCAGCCCCCCCAGCCCCATTCCCAAAAAGAAAAGAAAAGAAAATATATATAAATATATATCTAGAGATGCTCTATGGCTGGAGAGGCGGGTCCCGACCCTCGGGGGGGAAAAGGCACCTTTGAGTTGGTCACCTGTTTTCTAAATGCACATTTTTAAATGCTAAAAAAAGAAAAAAAAAAAAAAAAAGAAAAAAAAAAGAGTAAAAAACCAGAGAGATTTTAAGCCCTTTTATTTTCAAAGCACTTTTTAGATTCTCTTCCTTTTATTTTAATTTTTTTGTTGGTTATTTTGGGTTTTTTTTCCTTTTTTTTTTTTTTTTTTCTTTTTTTTGGTGTTTTTACTTTCAAAAGAAAAAAGCAAAGAGCAGGTTTTGGCCGAATGTATTTTGGAGAGGGAGTGAGAGGGGAGTGTGTGCTGGGGGGTGGGGTGAGTGGCGGGGCTGGGGGAAGAGATGGATGTTTATTTAATGCAGAAAAACAAAAAAAAGCAATAAAAAAATTCCAAAAAAAAAAAGCTTAAAAATAATAAAAAAAAAAAAAAAAGAAAACAAAGAAGTCTTAGCACTTTGCGATGGAACGGGTACTTTGAGCTCACTTTATCTTAATTTAAAAAAAAGCAAGATTCAAGATGTTTACAAGTCAAAAAACTTTAAAAAAAAAGACTTCTACGGAGAAAAAAAATATTATTAAAAAAAAGCCTAAATTTATTTTTGTAAGAAAAAAAAATGTGTATATATATATATATATTTAACAAAAAAAACCTAGAAAAAAATACAAATATAGGCAGAATCCAAGTGAGATTGGAGGATGGGAGGAAGATGCTAATTAGGTTCTGTGACATGCCCTGACCCTCGGGAATTTTAAATAGAAAAAAATCCATGGAAGCTTGAATTTTAGGCAGGAATCCTGGGGGTTTGTGGTGCTCACTGCTCCCCACAGCCTTGAGGAGGTTTTTGTTTGTTTGGGTTTTGTTTTTTTTTTTTTTAATTATTTTTTTGTAGAAATAATTTTATTTTTACGATGTTTTTTTTAGCCAGTGCCAGCGCAGAGGTGTTGGGATCGCTGTGGGGTTGGAAAAATCCCACCTGGAGCAGGGAGATTGGGAGAAATGAGATGGGAAATTAGGATTTGGCAGGGAAATTGGGATTTGGGCTGGGAAATTGAGATCTGGGCAGGGAAATTGGGATTTGGATAGAAAAATTAGGATCTGGATTGGGAAATTGGGATTTGCATAGAGAAATTGGGATCTGGATTGAGAAATTGGGATATGAGCTGGGAAATTGGGATTTGGGCAGGGAAATTGGGATCTGTATAGGGAAATTGGGATCTGCATAGGGAAATTGGGATTTGGATAGGGAAATTGGGATTTGGATAGAAAAATTGGGATCTGGATTGAGAAATTGAGAATTGGGCAGGGAAATTGGGATCTGCATAGGGAAATTGGGATTTGGATAGGGAAATTGGGATCTGGGCAGGGAAATTGGGATCTGTATAGGGAAATTGGGATTTGGATAGAAAAATTGGGATCTGGATTGAGAAATTGAGAATTGGGCAGGGAAATTGGGATCTGCATTGGGAAATTGGGATTTGAGCAGAGAAATTGGGATTTGCGTAGGGAAATTGGGATCCGGGCAGGGAATTTGGGATCCGGGCAGGGAATTTGGGATCCGGGCAGGGAATCCCCCCGGGAAGGTGCTGCAGGGACCCGGGTCCAGGCTGAATTTGGGTTTTTTCCCAGCCCCCGGGTTTGGATCCCTCCAGGGCCGTGGCAGCGATTCCCAGGAAGGACTGGAGGGCTCCCAGATCCCAGGGATTTGTGTCCCTCCCGTTCCCCCCTTTTTTTGGGCAGGAAAATGGGGATCCAGGTCCCGGTGGGTCCCCCCACCCCTCCCTGAGCAGGAGATTTGGGATCTGGGCAGAGAATCCCATTGGGAAGGGGCCGGATCCCAAATTGGGGGATCCAGGTGGGCCCGACCCTCTGGCAGCACTGGCCGAGGATTTTTGGGAATTTGGGAATTTGCATTTTGGGGAATATGCAAAGAAAATTCCATGTGGATTTGTAAATGGAGACTTTGGAGGTTCCCACTGGGGTTGTGGTGGCTCCTCTTGTGCTTTTGGGTTTTGGGGTTTTTATTTTTCCCTGGGATTTTTCCATCCTCGCTGCTGCTTTTCCTTCCCAATCCCAATCCCAAAGGAATTTTGGGGGAAGCAGCACCAGGAGAGGGTGAAGGGGATGGGAGCTCCCAGGTGTGCAGAAAAAGGGGAAAAAAGGGGGGAAAAAAGTGGGGAAAAGGAAAAAAAATGTGGGGAGAAAAAGGGGGATTGATTAAAAAAAAAAAAGGAAGGAAAAAAAGGGGGGAAAAGGAAATTGGAGGGGAGAAATAAAAGGAAAAATAAGGGAAAGAAAGGGGGGGAGAAGGAAAAAATGAGGAATGAAAGAAGGAAAAAAAGGGGGTGGAAAATGAGAAAAGAAGGAATAAATTGAGGGGAGGGAGGGCAAGGGGAGAAAAATAGGGAAAGAAAGAAGGAAAAAAGGAAAAATGCAAAGGAAAAAGAGCACAAAGGAGGAAGAGGAGAGAGGAGCAGACTCAGGATTCCCCCAGCCATGTCCCCCCCACTGGCAACACTTTAGCACAAGGTGAAGTTTGCACTAAAAATAAATCAAAAAAAAGCAAAAAAAAAAAATAATATAAAAAGCTCCAAATCCCCCAGGATTGTCCCTGTCCCATTGCCTTAAACCCCCACCCCAAAACCCCCCCCCCGTAGCTCAGCATCCAGATTTTTGTCTTTATTCTGATTCATTTTCATTTCATTTGAGTTGTTTATTATTATTTTTTTTTTTTTGAATCCAGATTGGGATGAAAGTGTTGCCAAAGAAAGTGCTGAGTTACGGTGGGAAGAGAGAGGAATAATAATACAAGTTATTATCAATAATAATAAGAAGAATAAATGATGAAATAATAAAATTCGGATCGAAGCCAAGCAGGGGGCAAGGGGAAATAGGGAGGAAAAAAAAGGAGTTTTTGATTTTAAAGAGGAAGAAATTTGTGTGTCCCCCCCCCTTTCCTTCCCCCATCCCACCTTCCCCATGGGGGTCAGCCCAATTTTGGGGAATTAATCCAGATTTCGGGGGATTAATCCAGATTTTGGGGGCGGCTCAGCCCCATTTTGGGGAATTAATCCAGGTTGGGGGGGATTCAGCCCAATTTTGGGGGATTGATCCACATTTGGGGAGATTAATCCAGATTTTGGGGGGTTCAGCCCAATTTTGGGGGGTCAATCCAGGTTTGGGGAGATTCAGCCCAATTTTGGGGGATTAATTTGGGTTTTGGGGAGATTCAGCCCAATTTTGGGGGATTAATTTGGGTTTTGGGGGCCTCAGCCCCATTTTGGGGGGTTAATCCAGGTTTGGGGTGCAGAGCCCAGCTTTGGGCAGGCTCAGCCCCATTTTGGGGCATTAATCCAGATTTGGAGGGGCTCAGCCCAATTTTGGGAGGTTTAATCTGGGTTTGGGGGGGCTCAGCCCAATTTTGGGGGATTGATCCAGGTTTGGGGTGCAGAACCCAAGTTTTGAGGGCCCTCAGCCCCATTTTGGGGGGTTAATTTGGGTTTTGGGGGGCTCAGCCCCATTTTGGGGGGTTGATTTGGGTTTTGGGGGGCTCAGCCCCATTTTGGGGGGTTAATTTGGGTTTTGGGGGGATTCAGCCCCATTTTGGGGGGTTGATTTGGGTTTTGGGGGGCTCAGCCCCATTTTGGGGGGTTAATTTGGGTTTTGGGGGGCTCAGCCCCATTTTAAGGGATTAATCCGGGTTTTGGGGTCTCAATCCTGGCTTTGGGGTCTGGGGGTGCCAAGGGAGGGGCTGCACCCCCTGCTGGGCTGGGAAGGGACAAATTTGGGGTTTTTGCCCCAA